TGGAACACACGTGAGAGATTACGCCCAACTGGCTTGTACATGCCCGAGTACCTCCCTGAAAATAGGCTGGGGAGGGAGGTCTGGGGATCCATGACGAAGACAACACCCATCAATACAAGAAAATGGATGTTACAATTACTATATTATGGTGTATTGATAAAGGTAGGTAGGTAGGCCTTTCTAAATAAAATCAACTGTATGTAACTATGTGCATATATGTTTGAAAAATGTCAGATTGTTTGTTTTTACATAATCCTGCTGACAGACTAAAAACACAGCTTCAGGCGGAGCTACAGAAAACAGAAACTCAAACATAATCGTTATAAGACGTCAAAACAATATGACTCACAAGCAAAAGGCTGACGAAGAATAATATTTTGTCATTCCAAGACACATGAGCTGAAGCGGTGTGTGTGACTGGGCGCCTACTGGTGGTGGTCAGAGGGCCCGGTGGCGCCAGTGTCCGGCAGCCTCGCCTCTGTCAGTGCGCCCCAGGGCAGCTGTGGCTACAATGTAGCTGCCATCACCAGTGTGTGAATGTGTGTGTGAATGGGTGGATGACTGAATGTAGTGTGAAGCGCTTTGGGGTCCTTAGGGACTAGAAAAGCGCTATACAAATGCAGGCCATTTACCATTTACCATATCTCAAAACTATTTATCCTCACGACGCTTGTCACGCACATGCCTACACACAGAGTGAGAGCAACCCCTGCGATTATGTTTCTTTTAGGACATCAACCAAAACAAATAGAGCGCTGAAGCCTGTCAGGATATCCTCAACTCACCCTCTGAAGAGTTATTCCCTGGAAAGCACATTACATTAAAACATCTTCCCATTTATCCATTCAGGGAGTCTGCCAGGAAGCCAGCTGTTTACTCCACATCAAATATCTTTGCCAGCTTCCAACTATACCTTTTATCAGACTCAAAGTAATCAGTGGAGTGCAATCATTTCCCAGAAACAATTATAATATTCAGAGTAAGATGACAGGAAAGCACAGACAGTGTTTCCTTGTCCAGGGGAATATTTGTCAGGATTGATTAACTGTTCCGATATCAAGAGCAATAAATACTTCCAACAAATAACTACAGCCCGTTTCTTTGCTCCATGGATATTGTTAAAGAATATTTCCTTACAGTTTTCTATGTTTTTACTCCCTCTTTCATTCCTTTTTCATTCTCTTGAGCCTTCATTTCCCATCTTCTCTTACACAGATTCATAGGCATGCTATTACTGAGCAATATATGATATATAACAATCTGTTGTTGTTGTTACAATTTCCTCATTTTAGTAATTTCCTTTTGCAGTTTTCCCTCGCCTGCTTGTTTTGGACTAGCCTGGCTCATCATGGAGAGATTTTTGTTGGCTTCCCCTCCCAGTCTGTCCATTTCCACTGTCTGCAGGACTTATTGCATCAAGTATGTCTCAGCACAGAATCATGTTGCAAGGCAAGGGTTTGCAGTTCGCAGCCCTCCCCTGAAAACATCCATGAACTTTGACAATTAACGACAAAAATGATGCCGTCAAATAATCAAACACTATGTGAGGAACATCTTGTCAACAATCCTGTGACAGTAACTAAAGTATCTCAACACACTGGAGTCGGTTTATGTTTGTGCAGTAAGTTAGCTGTTAGCATATTATAAGTTAGCATATTACCATAACCTCACTGTAATACAGATTTTCATTAGCCTCTGCTATCAGTGCAGATTCTTAATGGCTGAGTAAAAACATGAGACTAGATCAGTAATGTCTTTCAAACAGCTCGTGCTGGTGGTTGTTGGGAAGCCATCTGCTCAATTTTCTCCTCAAATGATCAGTGAAGCTAAACATCTATTGTACCGTTTGACAAGTGACAATGGGCGAATTTTTAACCATAAAAACACACAAACTCAAATGTTTTAGCACTTTTCCTGATTTATTTTTCTTGCAGCTATTAGATAAGACACGATTTATATGTTTGCCGATGGCTTAAAATTTTAATCCAAGGAGCAGCCAGTTTATTCAGAGGCACATTTTTCAGTCACACTAACCCAGACCTTCCCAAAGTGTGGGGCCCGCCCCCTAGGGAGGGCGCAGAGCCATTGCAGGGGGGGCGCGGTATGAAAAGGGAAAAAACTAAACAACGCTTGGACACTGCTAGCATGGGCGCCCACAAAAACGCAAAGCAGGAGATGAAGCATCGCTGAATGTTTCCAAACCAACTTCATTCTAAGCCAAAGACCAGAAAATATGGTGAAGCAAATCTGCCCTTTGGCTTCACCTGCACAAGTGCCGAGGTAGGTCCCCCTGCATAACTGCTTTTCCCTTTCGTCGGGAGCAGCGCTGGGCTGTTAAAATCACAGACAAACAGCATCCCACATTCTTGATTTTTAGTTCACAAACACTTCTTGTAATGACTAACTACTCCTGACATTTTGGAGATGTTAGCTCTTTATACAGTAAAGTTACAGCGGGATACAAATAATATCAGGCTGATCCTGCCACGATTTGTGTTTTTAAACCCATTTTGCACACAGAGGCATTTTTTGAAAAATGTATTGATAGCAATGTTGAATATTATTACACAGGGAAAAAAAACAACTACATGTAAAATAATTAGGCCTCTGCCTTTGTAAATAGAGGGACGGTAACTGCTTGTGTAAACGTGCAAAACCTGCAGATAGAGACAAAATACTGTTAATCTGACTCTCTGCCACTCATTCATCTCCTGTAAACAATAACGTGGCGCACAGCGTGACGTGGAAAAAGGCACATACCTTTAACATTGCGTGACGAACTCTGGATTCCTCGTCCACACATAAACCCAAAAAAGGAGTTTAAAATTTTTTTTCGGTGATTCGAAATGACCCAGTGGTGCATCCGCAGCACGGGCTTGTTGGCTGTTTAGTTTTTTAAAAAAGTCAAAAGCATGGCATGAGAATGGAAGTAGTTTAACCTATACTGAGTATATATTTGTAGGGTCTGCATAAACATGAGCAGTGTGTTTATCGTGAACTAATTGCAGTTTTATATTTAGAGCTGTTTGTAAAAGCTCCATCATTTAATCTGCCGCTCCATTCATTCTGCTCACGACTGGAGCTGAAGAGTCCCAGGAAAGTTTGGAGATGTTTACAAAGCTGCCCATTAACAAGCACACAGGGCAGCGGATTAATCACAGTTTATGTGACATTGTTATTGAGCTTCGACGCAGAATAAGAAAATGTACTGGCACTAAAAGTGAATTAAGAGAAATGCTGCCCATTGTTATTTTATTGCTTTAATTTGGAGCCACGCAGTCGGCCTTCATAATGATTTAACACAGAGTGGGTAAGTCGTGCTTATTAAAGCATGAATGGTGCTTTAATCAAACGTCAGTGTTGCAACACATCCCCTCCCAGATATTAGATGATCGACTGCAACTTATTGCAACAAGTCTAAGGAGCTTGGGAAGAAACATTTTGGAAGGAACGTCAAAGTATTTCAGAACAGCACGTATTTAATTCCTTCCATAACAGTCACGTGACTGTCTTCTGATAAGACTTATCCATCTCTATGGTAACGCTCTTAACTGAAAAACATCATCTTAAACCTTCAGTAAACGATTAATGAAGCTGAATGAGTTGCTTGTAAGGATGCATTGTAGCTCATTACTGTCACCTGAACTACAAAAGCAGATACAAAGACACGATGCATGACTTCAGCTCATGCAGGAGAAAGCAGACAGGCCTGTTGACTGCTTTTATTTTACCGCAGTCCAGTGCTGCCGACACAAAATCGAAGCTCTGCAGAATAGCATCGTTAAGCTTCGCGATATTCATTTTATTCTCCTTTTTCTCAGTGAACAATCTTTTGTAAGAATTTCTGATTTAATTAACAAGCTAACAAAGATGAAGGAGACGAGCACGGACAGTAAAGATGCTGTTTGCTCACATAGCCCCACAGAGTCGTAGATTCAAATGTAAGACATGGAGCTGAACACGAGCCCATTCTATTCACCTCAATTTGGCTGCAATGAAAAAGGATTAGCTACACTCATCTTTGTCAGCTTAGCTTTGCTGAATCATTCACATCACTACAAATATCCACTTCACCCAGAAGTTGGAAACCGACAAACCCACAGACTGCCATGGTGAGTCATCATATTACACAAGATTATAATACCAGTGGTATTTGTATTATTATTATAACAGCAATGGTTCCCAAATAGCTTGAGGCAAGTCAAGACAATCCATCAGATTTCGTAGTAACTAACTGGAATATGCAGCTGGTTTCTTTAATTTTCTCCTTTATTCCTACTCTCAGTGTAGATGGATTATCTGTTGGGAGACAACACGTCATAAGTGCCTCCAGCTAATAATAATACTACCCAAAGACAAATGACAAAATGTTAACAACAATAATAATAATTTTAAAATGCAGAAATTCAAAGAGGTGAGACATAAAATGTTGGTTTGGGCTCTGATCCTCTGATGTGCCCAAGGCAGGTCAATAATGATTCTGATTAGTACAAAGATAGAATTTCATCCTGCCTCTTTCTATGATACTATATCAAACTGCACCTACAACGGTGCTTTTGGTGTTTTTAAGAAATATGGTCAAAGTGACGAATTTGTGACAAAACCCAGCTGAAGGAGAATTCTTCAAAATGATTTTTCTGCAGTTTGAGTCATTACATAAAGTATCTGACATTTACTGTGTTTAAAACGATAAATGGCAATCAAGAGAAGTAAATGTTTATCTATCGGCGATACTTTAATGCCTGGGAATTAAAAATTCAAAGCGTCATCCTGTAAATCTTTTGATTGTTTTTCACATTTTCATTTTCTTAATCTTTAAATAAAAACCTACAGCTTAATAAAAAAAAGGTTAAAGGTCTTTTTTTTTTCATGTTGCTGCTCACACTGTGCAAATGAATTCACTACAAAGATATGGAGGTACTGCCACCTGCTGGAATGATTGGAGGGTCTTTACCTTTCAAAATAAAGCTCCATAAGGCCATGAATTCATTCTTACTCACATTGCATGCCTCACTGTTGTCTGGCTTGTTAGGAAGGAGGAAGGAGAAAACCTTTAGCGCTCCGTCACACTCATCAACCGTCTGGTTCACCTCCTGGCAGCTTGTAATCACAGTGTAGAAGTGGGTGGGAACGGGGAAGCCATCAGCTGAGAACCTGGACCGAGGAGGGGGATCAGAGGCACGTGCAAAATGTGAAAAAGTGAAAAGCACACCGTACAAATGCATCACTTACACTACTCTGGCTGCTTACGTTAGGAGCTAAATTGCATCAGAAGTCTAGTAAATCTTTAAATAACCTCCACAACCAGTTCAGCATCAGTAATGAACTAAACACTCGTACCTTTGGACCACTGGTGGAACATGCACAGCTACTGAGAATATGTAAGCTCCACAAAGTGAAAACCACAGCATGCTGTGTAGTTATTAATCACTTAAATGATTCCTCACATGGAGACGAAATGCTCGCCATATATTTATAGTGCATTTATGACACAGGCAGACAGGAAGTCTCTGCAAAGGCTCATAAAGACTGGAGAGCATCGGAGGGATAAAACGTCCATCCGTGGACTCCATATACACACAGCGCTGCCAGGAAAGAGCTGAGGGAGTTATCAGGGACTCACTGCTACCTCAGAAATGTGCATATCCTGCCACCCTCTTGTAAAGAGGGTGGCAGGATATGCTTTTTATTTGTTCTTGTTTCTAATGTCTCTGTAAAGCACTTTGAATCACCTTGTTGTTGAATTGTGCTATACAAATAAACTTGCCTTGCCTATAATATAGTTAATAATTTATATTTGTGTTGTATTTTGCATTGTCTTGCTTATGCTTCTCTTTTCTCTACGACTGAGAGAGCTCTGCGCTGCTTTATGCACAAATGGCAACAAAATAACCTTGAACCTTGTGTTTTGACACACATATGCACATGCAAGCTCACTTTAGTTGTTATCAGCTAGCTGACCGAGCGCCGTCATCGCTCGCCGCTGCGGTGAACTTACTCTTTTATCTTCTCGGTGGTGTCTCGAAGGCCGTCGTAGTTATAATCAAAAACAGGGCCGCAGAGAACGTTGATCCCATTGCTGGCCTCTGCATAACGCCGCAGCAGCGTGCCTTGTAGGTAACTCCACACTCCTGCACACCCACAGAAAAATAGGCCATGCTGCTTATACTCTCACCTTTTTTATAAACATCAGTAATAAGAAACACTCGAAGAGCAGCTCAGCTTCTGTCCAGTATTTGATTTTGTATATATTCATTTTGTTTTTTCTTTTCGAGTAGATTTTCCATTTCAAAGAAAGAAAGAATAAAAACAGGAGAAGTGAGGTTTCACTGGTGGAGTGAACATCTGTAAATCTACTGACCATGACAAGACTTTAGGCGTCACGTCCTAAATAAGGAAACCTATCCTGTTCTTGCTGTTTCCCATTTATTCCTGCAACCTTTTATGGCCTTAATATAGAACCTATTAGCCGAACAGACACAAACAGACACACAGCTGACGCACACACAGCATAATGGGTGCATGCATGGGGCAGGTATGCAGAGGCTGAGTGTCTGCTTTCTCCTGATAAGTCCTCTCTCTTTATAAACAATGGGTATCAGGCCACCCTGGCTCATACCTGACATCACCACATTTCTGTCCCGTGTCTCATGGAACACAACTCAATTTCCACCTCCACAAGGACAGTTAAACTAACAGATAAAAAAAAATGCGCTGATGTCAGACTCATTGTTTAACTCTGAAACTATTCTTAAGTCACAATCTACTGTAAATACAAAGGGAGGGGGTGAGAAAGTAAAATAGTAAGACTGTCATCAAACAGTGTGTTGTTGCAGCGGCTTCAGTGCTGATAAGAACTCATAATTATTCAAATAGAGATGCAGTCACTTCACACAATGTCTTTGTTTTGGGTTCGAGCTAGAGACTGTATATCAAAGATGGACATTCCCGCTGTACTGTATTTGCTGTACTTTTGTATTTTGAAAGCTTGATGTTGGCCGAGGGCCGACTGTGGCTCAGACTGAGGAGCGAGCTGCCTACCAGCTGGATCAAATCCTGTCAGTGGATCATGAACAACATACTGAACCCCAGGTGTTTGAGGGTTAGATAAAAGAAGCTCAGGTGTCGATAAAAGCACTGTATGAACAACTGATCAAACTTAATGAAAAGATGCTACGGCAGGGGTGGGCAACTCCAGGCCTCGAGGGCCGGTGTCCTGCAGGTTTTAGATGTGTGCTTGATCCAACACAGCTGATTCAAACTGCTAAATTACATCCTCAACATGTCCTGAAGTTCTCCAGAAGCCTGGTAATGAACTAAAGACGAATTTGCTAATTACCAGCTGACAGTGGCATATTTGGTTAGTAGGTTTTATTTGACAGAAAAATCAGTGCTCAGTGAGAAGAGTCCTAATGTTTCACGAGCCTGTTACTGAGACTGAAGCACAAACATCTTGTATGGGAATGTAACATATTTTGTGGAATGCAGTAAAGACCAGATTCCCCACATTCCCGGTCCCTGGTATAAATACAACATCTTGAGACAACTGTTAGCGTGTTGCTACAGTTACGTACAGCTGAAGTGAAAATACGAATTTTTGACTTTTATGGAGGTGACTTACTCTTGAAGGCAGGGTACATGGGGACAGTGTTGGTGATGAGCGAAGCGTCATATCTGGACTCGGGAGACGTTGCCAGCTCTGTCAACACAAACGTGTGAGTCACACCTGTCTTATCATCCACTGTTTGCACATATCCAAACAAGCTCGTATAAGATGTTGACATCGCAGAAACGTCACTCAGAAGTTGTGACAGTCAAAGTTAACCCAGTGAAATTTCGGATTATTGTAATGATTTCCTATTTTCCCGGCACTCCGCTGGAATTTCAGTGTTTTCCTCCTCAAATATCATTTTAAATGTAACTATATTATGTTAAATAACATAAGCTATAGTGCTAACAATGTATGCAAAGTTTGGACAAATGAACTCCCCCATCATATGCAACAAGGTGGCCTGGTCCACTTCCTGTCGTTCTCTAACTTCCTTGGAAAGGTGAACTTCAGGAAACTGGTTCTCAGGGCCCTGATTGCCATCCTTATTAAAGGGTTAGACTTTTATTTTTTTCACATAATTGATATATTTTATTTTCTATATGACTACATCAGTTAAATCGTCAAGAATTAAAGCTCAAAACCTAAACGACTCTTTCGATTACAAATAACTCAACATAATTTTATCTCATTTATACTAAGATCCGGTTTTTATGATGTTTGCACAATGTATATTAAGCAACATGGATATTTCTGCACAGAGGGTCCTGTGTTCACCCTGTGGTGCTACCTGGGGGGAAGAGGAAGCCATACGTGAGGTGGGTGTTCTGGCCGTAGGCGCTGCAGCTCTGACTGTGATCAGCTGACACTCTGGCGTCGACTCGGATGCACTGAGCACTCGGAGAAGCATCTGGTACAGGAGTCATGTCCTCCTGTGAGACAGACATGTGACAACATACAGTGAAACTGAACCAAAAATGTGGTTAATCGCAGTCAATTCATGATTTAACAGTAGGGGCATTACTTTTATCCTGCATAGGGCCAGGTAGGGTTAATGTTTTATTCCCTTAATAAATGAAAAAAAAAAGTGTTTGTTTTGTCATTTAATGGTACCAGTTGCATTTTGGTGCAGCTGAAAGAATCTAAGATCAAAGATAAAAAGCATCTAAAGTGAGAGTGAAACTCAGATGTAATGCTGGGCTCTAATATAATGTTTACTTCCACTCATGTCTGCGTGTTGTTTTGGCATTCATGCATGGCGATGTATATGCACGGAGCAGGTGTGCCATACGTGAGCAGCTGCACAACATCACAACACAACACCTGCAACGAGTCAAACACGCGAGTGTGTTTACTGCAGTGGCTGTCTGAGATTTCATGTTTGCGTGTTTTCAGAGCTCTGTCACATCCTGCTGCGACACAAACACAGTCACTCACTGCAAACACCACGAGTGTTTGCAGTGAGTGCACCACCAGTGAGTGCACCACCAGAGTGCCTCTAATGTGGTTGCATCAGAGGTTTAACCTCATTTATATCAACGAAGTTCTGAGAGGAAAGAGAGGAAGAAGACGTCTGTTTACATGCTGGACACGTCTGGACATGCTGTTCGTGCAAACACAGGGCAGGGTTAAAAAAGCAGAAATGCAAGAGTTACTCTTGTACTCTTACAGTCTGTCACATTTCAAACTAATCACCTGAGTAAAGACTTCTGTAATAGTCTTTACTCAGGTGTCAGTCTGTCGTCAGATTCTAGCATCCTTACACTGGCTGCCAGTCACTTTTCAAATGGATGTTAAAATGTTATTATCCGTCTTTAAGGCGTTGCATGGGTTGGCACCCTCAGACCTTTCTGATCTTTTGAACGGGTTCACTCCAGCAAGGTTATTGAGGTCTGCGGATCAAACGCTCCCAGCTGTGCTGAGGTCCACATTACAGCACAGAGGAGGTCGGGTCTTTCCTGTAACTGCTTCTAAACTTTCAAAACCCATCTGAAAACCCACCTTTATTCCTTGGCTTTTAAATGAGAATGAGGAATGAATGAACTACTTTCATTTGTCTTATTTCCTATTCAAATCTTCTCATTTTATGCTTTTTTCATAATTTTTCTTTTTATCTCTTTTAATTATTTTTAATTTTAAATGTTCAGCACTTTGCTGAACAGTAGCTGTTTTAAGTGTGCTGTATAAATACATTTGACTTTGACTAATCATCATAAAGCACTGATTGCACCAGGGTTAGTAACACCGGCATGTCCCTGAAGTGCCTTCAAACATGCTGATATAGCAGCTTCGAAACATTGCACAGGAAGGCTTCTTCCTCTTCTTCTATCCCAAGCGCCCTCTTGTGTCTCGCAGGCACCTCTGCATATCCTCCTTGACCACAACCATGGACGTCGTCCAAGGTCTTCCTCATTCCTCCAACATGTCCACTCTCCCTCCTCTGAACATGTCCAAACTCTCTCAGCCTCGTCTCGCTAGTGCCATCTCCAAACTACTCGACCTGAGCTTTGCCTCTGATGTACTCATTTATAATCCTGCCAATTCTGGATACTCCTAAATGAAAAAGTTTGCAAAAGGTGAGTTTTCACAGACAAGAGTATAAATATAAGAATAAGACTTTCCACAGGAACAGGGCGGTGATGACCTGCAAACTCTTCAGGTTAAGTTTCTTGATATGAACAGCAGCTAATCTTAAGCAAACAACTGGCAATCAATATGAACATAAGGACTCCTGAAATATAACAGAAAAAAACTCAAACTTTTATCTTCATATCATGGAAGTGTATCTGTGAATTTACCCTCTGACGTTTTTATAATTTGGACTAGCAGGAACACAACAACCAGAGATCAAACTAGAGAAAAAACTAAAAGTTTTAGGTGACTTCAAGGGACAATCAATGGCTTGTAGAACCAAGCTGACTGATACAAGACGGAGTGAGAACTTTACATGCGTGTACCTGTGGTGGCAGTGTGTATGATGTCCACAGGGGCATGGCTAGCTCTTTGCTGTATCCACTGATGAACTCCACATGATGAAGAAGACTGTACTGAGTGTCAAACATCACCGCTGGTCGACCAAACGGCAGCTGGGTGCTGTCTGCAAAAACAACATGTTGTACCTCGATGCCAAATTATTTGATTATACTTCATAATTAAAGGTGATTCTGTTGGTGTCCTCTGCAGTTCCTACTGACCAATAAAACGGCAAAAAATACAAATGAAAGCAGAAACAGGAGGCATTGCTTTAAGATACATGATGAAGAAAATCTAGATTTACTGTCAAATAATCCTATTTCCTCAGCTGCTAGCTGAATGCAGCTGTTCCAGTGTGTGTGTGTGTAACACTTACTATAACTGTAGACCCCATCTGATGCACGAGTGAACAGCCCATTGATCTCCACTTTGTTCTGAAAATGATAAAATGTGGTTTTTTTCCTCGTCTTTGTTTGTTACAGAAGAAAGTGACAAACACGGTGAAATCAGCTGGATTTAGATGTTACAAATGATTTCTGTGGCATTGCTGCCTCCCACAGACCTCATCGTCACAGCTGCAGCCCAGGTCGTGGCTGATTTCGGCGTCGGACGACGGCGACGGTGGCGTGACTTCCTCTGGCATGCTGGGTTGGAAAGGCGGATCTTTCAGCATGTCGTTCAGACTGCCGTGTGTCCCGTTGTTTGGAACTGGCTTCAAGCCCAACAAGTCTAAAGCACGAACAATCAGAGGACACGCTATTATAGTAGTAATGATAACATCGGTATTATTATCTCGGCCAGGAGTGTCCTTCTCCAGTCCTTTAGAGCTTCCGTCCTGCAGCTTTTAGACACATCCTTGTTCCGACACCTGAATCAAATGAGTGGCTTGTTATCAGGCCTTTGCCAAACTTGATGGCTGAAGAGGTTTCCAACCATTTGATTCAGCTGTGTTGGAGTAGGGATGGATCTGCAGGACAGTAGCTCTCGAGGACTGGAGTTGGACACCCCAGATCTAGACCATATTTTCTGGTATTCAAAAGAAGATAAAAAAATGATTCTTACCACACATGACATTGTATAACTCTATATTCTCAAACTCCGGCACCATCTTCTGAAATTTGAAGCTTGGCCCATGGCCAATAAAGATTGTCTACAAAAAAGAAGGAGCATCAAACAGTGAAATCAACTCGTGGAGTTTTCAAACAAACTTTATGAAAAACTGTCGTGTGGACATCAGATCAGAGAGATGTACTCCTCATAATGAGGTAATAGTCAGCCATGTTTCTTGTCCTTCTCTCAAATTCTACTTTTCTCGAAACAATACTCCGCGTGGAACAAGAAGAAACCTCTGGGGCTGAAAATGAAGCCGAATGAACCTTAGATTCCAAAAGCTGCAGTTCCTTCAGCCACCACTTGATGTCATCATCAAGGGTCAGTCATCATGGCCTTCTGTGATAAACTGCCACTTTATAACAGATGGTTTTAAAACGGTACAAAGTCTTTTTTACGTTCTTTAACAATCACATCTGTACTGACAACACATCTGTCTTCAACTATTTAAATTCTGTTTGACTACAACTGCTACATGTCAGCCTTTAACTCACCTGGTTCAGCCACTGAGCTGAGCTGCTCGTAGAGCTGCTGGTGTTTAACATATTAAGATACTATGGCTTGCTGTGTGATTTTAAAAATGCTACATGGTAACCTTTGGCTCAGAAAGCCCAAGATGGCGGTACTCATAACGCCAAGTATTCAAACAAAGTATCCAAGCTTGACGCGCGATGCCTTTAACATATAAACACAGAAGGAGCAAACAGCAGATACGACACACGAGTACCCTCATGCTGGTTATCTTGTTGTCAAAGCCGTGATCACCAAAGAAGCCACACCGAGTCCTCGGCTTTTCTGGCATTTTCCTGAAAACAACAAACATGGAGTATGCAGGCACTGAGTCATTCTGTGATTTTTGTAGCTCAGTGTGACAAAATGCAAAAATCCTTCCTTCACCTCACTTTCTAAATATCAGTGAACTTAACTTAAAGTCCTCAAATTTAACCAGACATAATTTAAACATAAAGTGGGAGTAGAGGTCACTGAGGCTGCCCGTTTCCTTTGTAATCGTCTTATTTCTTCCTCAGACTTGATAAGATCTCGATTTATTGGTAGTTAAAACACCGTTTCTGACAGATTAGAATCACAGGCTACCTGGCAATGTGCCACTTCCTCTCCATCAGCAGATGGACATCCTCAATCCGTCTGTTGTTGGCGTAGTGAAGCCTCTTGGGTAAATCCCGTTTCAGGTATGGCTTGAAGTGCTGAGCTGGCATTTTGCACTGAAACAGTAAATACAAAGGTGAACGACCTGACCCCTGCAAACACAGCAAACCGCTCAGTTTGTTTTAGGCTGTACTGTGATCTTATACATTTGTTACTTACAGTGAGGTTTGCAACCACAACTTTTGGGTCATCTGGAAATGGAAATTTGAGAAATATAAAGCAGGTTTTGCATCTAAAGAAAGCACGTGTCACACTGTGCTATTTAAATGTGCGCACTTACACGTGGTCGGTTTTGGCTCACGGGGTCGTATTCTGCCCAGCGAGCCAGGGATCAGCGTGATCTCGTCTATGTTGAGTGGGTAGCTGCTGAGAAACTCTGTCCTGTCGCAGTGGGCCTCCTCCATCCCTGAGACACAGCAGTGACATCTGTAACTTCTCGACACACCTCAGACGTACACAAGTTGTGTGACCAAACGTTTCATGCTTGTGCTGACACTGAGAGTACACGCCAAGTGAAGGAACCTGTGTGTCTTTTAAAAGAACCATGTGACTTTCACCAGTTTTAATAGAGACTCTCAAACCTGATGCAGCTCTTGATGGCATCTCTGTGGCCTCCAGAACTAGAAGAGGTCAGATCTAGTGTTTCTTTAATCCTGTTTTTCTCCCGTCACCCTCAACCAATCACAGCAGATGGCCCCGCCCCTCCCTGAGCCTGGTTCTGCTGGAGGTTTCTTCCTGTTAAAAGGGAGTTTTTCCTTCCCACTGTCGCCAAGTGCTTGTTCATGGGGGGCCATCTGATATTTGGTGTTTTCTCTGTCATATTGTCTCTATTCATACTAAAAAACAGCGTGAGCTGTTTGCTCGTGTGATTTTGTGCTGCAGAAATAAAAGTGAATTGAATTAAACTAATGTGAAGAAATGTTGAGTCATTTTTGACCAATCGTTTCTTCTGTAGCCCTCATATAAAAAGTCTATGCATAACTTCTTCCTTCCATTGCGAAAACTGGGAACATCCCATCTCAGAGTGATGCTGAAAAACTAGTCCATGCATGTGGTGTTTCTGGATTGGACTATTGCGATTGCTCATTTCCAGGATGTCCGAAAAAGTTCAGTGAAACCCTTCAAAGTTGATCCAAAGTTGTTGCAGATCAGGTGACCCTGAAACATTATTTAGTAATGAGGCTACAGGATCCGGCTGCTGGGGGGCTTCCTGAGCACTTTTCCTTCCTCCCAGTGAAGGAGTAAAGGTTCTAAAGAAGGTCTCTTACTCTGTAAAGGAGCTCTTCCCTCCAAGTACAAACATAGAGGACTGTCTAATCATTGCTGCATTTACAAGAACTGTAATAAAAGGGTTAATTAGACAAAATCCTCTGAATTCAGCAGGTTTCTGTGGAGCTCATACCGTGATCTCCTACAATGATGAGATTGATACAGCGGTGCAGGTTCATCTGCTTCAGTCCATTCATTAGCTGACCAATGATGTTGTCAATTTCCCTCAGAGGGTTGTCCAGCTGTGGACAATATTTCAATTGAAACCAAAATGATTGATTATTGCATATCATTAATCGCACCTCTTAGACCATCTTCAGGCCTAGCTCACCTCACTGCTGAGTGGACCCATTCGATGTCCGTAGGCATCGGGCTGCTCTGAGTGGATAGCATAAACATACGGCCTGAAAAGACATGACGAAGGAAACGTTGTGCTGCGAAACACTTTTCATGGAACAGTGATGACTGAACAAGGTAGAAAAAAACTTTGTTTCAGTGTGAGTTCAAGCATCTCACCTGAACGCACAACCAGAGAAGAAACACAAACACCTACTTCACCTGCTGACACACCGAGCTGTACAAACACTCCATGCACGTCACTACCCAGCACTTATCTGCAGCATCACCTTCAAGCTACTTTTTGCACAATGCAACAGTATTTTGCACATTTCCACTGCACTGTCTTGTTTCTGTATCGTCCTGTTCTGTCTGGTGTTTCACTGTCTTGTCTTGTTTTATTGCAGTGTTTGCACATTACTCTGTTATATGTCATATGTAGCACCAGGGTCTCTGAGGAACGCTGTCTCATTTCACTCTGTACTGTAACACTGTGCATGGTTGAAATGACAATAAAAGCCACTTGACACTTATCGGCTTCTGATCCGATCACTGACCCCAGACTCTGCAGTCTCTTAAACAGACACACCCACAGTATCACTGTCACTGTCATTCGTGAGTAATTTTACACATTATTTTGTGTGTGAAAGCTACATGCTAATTTATTGTAAAAAAGTAAAAAAGACATGGACACACCTGACATCATCGGGCAAGTGCAGCCAGTGCAAGATGGTCAAAATCCTCCTTTCAAGAGGAATCACCCTGAAAACAAGAATCATGATGATTAAAATTTTAATGACAAAACCTGACGATCAATTTTTATTCTGTCACCAAATAGCTGAGGCTGATGGTTTGAATGTAAATCAGCAGATGAACACGCCGTTTTGTTCGGACTCCTCGGACTCTTCAATGGCCTTTGTTGTGACTGTGTGGGAGTATTGTCCCATTGTCTGTCTGTCTCAGGATGTGACTAGTGCGCATCTTCATGTGTAGCCCTCGTGATCATTGAGTCATGGACATGCAAACACTCGCTGACATGAACCTGTCTGCTTCGTGCCTGTCAGTCGCGCTGCGCTCGGTCATCGGGTCAAATCAAAATCAAAAGCTCCTCTTTTACGTCTGTGTTGCTCAGACTTAATAACACTTTGTAGTTAATTACACGAAGCATCAGAGAAGCACTGTTGCTCAATGATGTCACACATTTTAATATTTGCTTTTTAAAATTAAAATCTTTGACTCTGCCCAGTATCCCATTATCATTTATCTTCCCCTCACTGCTTCGGACTCAATCTTCAAGAGTTTTTCAGCTACTAAAGTGTATTTGTGTTGTTTTTTCCCTGAACCTCCCTCATTATTTCTCCTGAAAGACTGAGTTTTATTTATTTTAGTGCATTATTGTGTTATTTGGCAAGTAGAAAGATTTCCCCACAATGAACAACAGCTTCACCAGCATCCACATCATGTCTCCTTTCTGTACTGTTTCCCTAAATTGGCAGTATCCTCAGCAACATCCACACCTAAGCCACAGACTGGTATCCAGGGTGTACCCAGCTGTTTGCCCATGAAACGAGTCATAGGCTCCAGCCTGACTTATCCCCGAGGGGGCATTTCATTAAGAGAGATCCAGGGCTCTGACTGAGCCCATCGGACATTCAAAGAAAATCAACACAAAATATATCAAGAATGTATAAGTAGTGCAGGAAAAGTGGAAGTGACTCCTCAGTAAAGTCTGATATCTAAAGCTACTGAAAAACATTCCAGTACTAACTTAAGTACCAAGGCCAGAAGAACGTGCCTGGTTTCACTCCTTGTTTCTCAGCGGTGATCCAGATCTGAAAAAGAAACAAAAGGAGATGAAATCCAGAAATCCAGCGGTCCTCTTAAACGCTGTTATAAGTGACCTTAACACCTTACGTAAGCTCTTCAAATCTATGGAGAGAAAATGTTGACAAAATGGTCACAAATGTGTTCAATATTCTCAGGATTTTGTGTCACTCTGCGTACTTACAAAATGTGTGCTCCGGCACACGTACAAACACCAGTTTTTAAAGAAGTACGCTTTTTAAATTTGCATTTTATGCTTTAAGAGTTACGCCTGCTTTTTGGTCAGCTGGACTCTAGACTGGACTCACAGGCTGTCCGCCCCACCAGCGGTGGTTCAGTTTCTCTCTGGAACGCAGTGTGAACGTGGCATTAAAGTCTGGGTCATACATGGTGTTCCCCACAATCCCGTGGGACTCTGGGTACAGGCCCTGCAGACAGATGGCACATTTACTGTTTTAAAAATGAGTCCAACGCTTGAGTAGCAACACGAGCACAGTGTAAGGGCATTTTGAACACACTGGCAAACATTTGTGTTTGCTCATTCTTCAGACAGAGTACTCATTAACAGACTAGCTTTACTGTAACTTCCAACATGAACCATCCATTAAATATGCTGGCTCACTTACCGTGGCTAAGGTGTACAAATTTGGAAATGTTTTTGATGGGTAGACTGGTCGCATGTACGGTGTAGACGTGCCACATCCTCCTGAGGGGAAACAAAAGGTAACTTTTTGTTAAATTTTGCATTTTAAGAAGTAAAGAGTTGTGAAAGCTGCATTTTACAGGATGATACAAGCAACCAGGCTATATTTTTGACTCATCAAAAAGTAAATAAAGGACATACAGAAACTGCTGGCTCTGTAAAAATCACTTAAATACAGATGAAGTTAAAAAGAAGACATACTGAGTTTATGAAGGTTTGGGATGACAGACTGGTCCTTCTTCAGGTAGGAGGCTCTGAACCCATCGAGCGAGAGCATGATGAGAGGAGGACGGACGAAGCTGAGAAGCACAAGAATGACAAAGCTGATTGATCTGGTAACATCACCAAACTGCAGTTATTCTCCAAAATGGTGTTTCAGGTTTCTATAGAAGGCGTGGAGCCATTATGCTTTTTTTAGAGACGTGGTTAGTCATCAGACTCCACGGAGTTTGCATCTTCTCCCCGTGTTTGTGTGGCTTCTCCCCGGGTACTCCGGCTTCCTCCCACAATCCAGAGACATGCACTTAGTGGGGATAATTGGCAACTCTAAATAGGTGTGAAGGCGGGGGTTAATGTGAGTGCAAATGGTTGTCGGTCTCTGTGTGTTAGACGGGCGACCTGTCCAGGGTGTACCCTGCCTCTCACCCTGGGACAGCTGGGATAGGCCCCAGCCCCCCCTCGACCCTGAAAAAGGATAAACAGATGGATGGATGGTCATCGATCTTACCCTGCAGGGCATTCAGGACTCGTGATGTCCTCGCATTCTTCTTGCAGCCACGAAGTCTCACCTGGAGAGGAAACCACAGTACATCACATGCTTGAAAGCAAATTTAATCTCCATGTCACTTGGTTAAAAATGATAATGACATGTACCTTTGCACATGGACTTGTAATTTGAGCAGCAGTCTCCTTTTTCCAGACAGTCCTCTGAGCAGTGGCAGGCATGGTCTTCATTCCTCTCCTCCCTACACCGTTCCTGTTTGCATTCAAAGCCTCCCTCTGAGCACAAACAGGAAGTCAGTTCATTGATTATTTCCGTGTGTGAAAAATAACATTTTCACAGGATTCTCTGCAGTTCTTTGAGAATCTAAGCACATGCAATGATTCAGCTTGTAGAAGCAACTTCAGCAGCAGTAACCTAAGTAAGTCTAGTCCACTGGTCCACTCGTCTTTGCAACACTGCTCCAGTTGACTGAGGTTGATGGTTATTTGTTTGTGCACAGATCTCTTAATGATCTTTTTCTTCTTCTGTATATTCAGATAGAACTTAGCAGACCTAATCTGTGCTGCCATGCTCCTTCTTAAATTTAGAGTCCTATCCTGGCACAATATCATGAACTTTAACATTTAACATGTGAATGAAATGAATAGTTTTAGGCCTCTGAGCTCCAGCTCTTGTTCTGTTTTGGGGGGTTTGCAGTTAGCCTGAGCAGAGGTCTGACATCCACTCTTGGGAAGATGGTGACATCATGATAAGATATACATGCATTTGATTAGCAGCACCAAGCTGCTTCCTACCTGATTAATTCAGATGAAAGCAGGAAACACAACGCATCAGCGTGCTGCATCATGACAAATTCAATCTGATTACATCATAACGTTACTCTTACTGGCTCCGTTCAAGACTCTCTTGTGTTTTTTCCCTTTCATTCAGGCGTTTACAAAACTTCTGAAGGAATGTGTTATCATGTACAAAGTTGCAGTCTTACAAAGTTTTCACAAAAAGTTTCCTGAGACACTAAACGATGCTGATCCTTCACACAGCCTGGTTAGTAGGTGTGAACCCACGTCCATTAAAAAAATGACTTTCAGCTGTTCCCTTCTTCACAGCACATAGTGCTCTGTGTTTGATTTGGCATCTCAAAGGATTTTTGTCACAAAGTCCACAGAGTCTCCTCGTTCTGTAGAAACCCATCCAGCAATCAGACTCCTGGACAGCACGTTCACTCCATCACTGATCGTTAGCCATGTGGTACAAACTCTACAGAGCTTGTTGATTAAACCATTGTGTTACTGAGCCTTGAAAGTAATGCAGTGTCTCTGTGGCTCCACGACCATCTTCCAAGTCACATGTTAGACGAGCTCAGGCTGCACATTCGCCTCCAGCAGCCTCGACAGCTTGTTCAACTTTGGCTAAATTCTGCCGAGTTCATCTGCCTCCGAGTCCCCAATGAGCCCTGTTCCACTGTTTAACTGTCTTCTCCCAACCAACGTTTTCAGATCTCAGATCTCTGTTGCATAACAGAGGGTCCTAAAATGTGTTACAGATTATCCATACCCAGGCAACGCTGACGTTTTATTATACGTTTTAAAAAGAAGACCCACAAGAAGCTCATGGTTGCTGAATTCATTTGAAGATTTTTTTAAATGTTCCACAGTTGTTTACTTCATGTTTTCAAGATGAACATACAGTTATAGGTGATGCAACCGAGATTTAAATTAGCATCAGATGAAAATGAACATTTTGGCTTTTGTTAAATTTCCCTGTGTTACAAGAGAAAGTACTCATCCCGAGCTTTGTAGGCATGTTATATGAAGCATATGTAAATATCTATACTTTTAATATTAGACAGCTCTGTAGCTGTTCATTGGCTGTTACACATCTCTAAACTGCTTTTAAGGGTTTACATTGTCAGCTCGATGCAGTTAGTTGTTGACCAAGAGCCACAGACTGGGTAAGAAAACAGGAAGTGAAGAAAAGACGAGAGACGTGAGCAAGTGTGTAGAAGCCTGACCTGTTTTCAGGCAGTGCTCATCAAAGTCAGAGCAGCAGCTGTAGTAGGTTTTGCAGAGATTGTCACATCTGCATCCTGGAGGGCTGGCCACCTCCAGCTCAAAGCACCTCCCCTTACAGGAGCCCGCTGAGCTGACCCACTCTGAAATGACTACAGGGAGGGGAAGGGCATGGTGAGACACACATGCTGCAAACATGCCCACATACAACGTTTACCAAGTATAATGGTGCACAGCTCTGGTATAAAATGTGTTTTTATGTCTTTAAGCAAAATCGAGAAGTCGTAGTACACAAGTTCTAGCTCGGTTTGCCTCCATAACAGTCATTCAAGGTAAATTCAAGTAATTTTCCTATAACGGTTTTTGTCATCTAGATTTTCGATGTCAAAACTCATAATTAAAACACTCCTGTTGATGTGAAGTTAAAGTTAAGTAAATGCAACTCGTTCCTGCTTGAAGTTTTGTTCACATTGGCCCAACCATTAAGGAGGAAATATGTACATACAGATATATATTCACATCTATCCTGCTATGATTAGAGTGAGAAACAAAACACCAACAGCCTGTAGCTGCTAGCTCGGTGTTTTTTCTCGCTTTGATGTAACTTGGCAATACACATTTTAAACATCAATGTCATTTTGGTCCAAATGCAGAAATAAAGGTTTCCACCATATTTGATCACATCAGTCTTCAGCTCAGTTATAAGACTTTCTTAACTCAACAGCCCAGAATAAGCGTTGCTAAGACAACAAGTGTGTTCTCACTTTTAGTATGAGATGGCGGGTTGTCCCCTCCCTCTGAAGGTCGGCTGGCTTGAAACACATAAGCTCTGCTGACATCAATGCCCCACAGACAGAACGCAACCACTACCTGCAGAAAACCAGAGAGCATTTCTTTTTAACACATTTCCACTCCTCAAGGTCAAAGGTCAGGCTTGGAGGATCTCTAGAGCTGGTACAGCTTTAGTATCCTGCTCAGCAAATCTTTACAAGAACTGATGTTTTCCAAAGTACAACTTAAACCCAGATTTAAGGTGAAAGCAGCTCAGAATGGTAACGGGAGCTTTGTTTCATGCAGCTCCAACGCTTCTAATAGGTTTAATTACACAATCATGCAGTTGGACATTTTCTTGCTTAAATAAGTAAGACTTTCCCTGAAGAATCAACTAGATGGCAACTTTGTTGCTCGAAGATCTGTTAATGATGAAGCCTAAACAGTTGTGCAAGTTGCTGTGCCATGTGCACCAGGTGCACCTTTACACCCACATACAGTTGCAGATGTTGACTCTCCTCACAAGCCTGACGGTCTCCACTTTTACCCAAATAATAATAAAAAGATTCACACAGATTTACATATTCAGAGTTTCCCTCTTCCATTATGATATTTATTACTATTCAATATTTTAGACAATAAAAACACTCAAATTAGTAGAAATCTTACATGAAGTAACATAAGTTCAACCATGAGTTAGACCATGACCTGAACACCGAGTTTAGAAACAAATGTTTGATCTAAAATGTGACTCACATCGGCGGATCTCTCACAGATCACATTTGGCCTTGACAGACAGTTTGGACGCAGGGTGACTCTGGTCACCCCAACTCTGCAGGTCAACCTCGTACGTGTCATGTGTCAGCGGTGGTAACACATCTGTGCCATACCAGGAACGCACAACACTTGTCAGTGCCATAACTGAGTTAGAAAGTCTCAAAGTAGCCCAATTAGGTCCAGATGTAACTGGATATTGTCTGTCCACTCAGCATGTAGTGGCCAGATGTTAGATGTACTGTGACTTCTCCTCCACACTACAGCTGTCATAATCTATGTCGATACAGCGCCATGACTCGTGTCCGGCCCTCAGAGTGCTCAAGGTTGCCAAAATCAGTATGTTATCCGGGTATTTTGACGTCAACTCAGCGTGGACTGGTGTGTTCTTTAAACTACGACGATCCAGTGACTGATGACTAATTCAGGTATAATTCATTTTTAATATACTGCGTTTGCTAATTTCAATTCATTCTAAAATGAATGATAATAAAAGTGATGATGGTGACCAAACCCACGTCCTGAAGGGAGACGGGAGTGATCCACGGTGGAACCGTTAACCTAAAGCTTTTTGCTTACCTTTACCTCCCACAGGTAAACAAATCTGCGGCATTGTTGACAATGAGCTGTTCCAGGCTATCCATCATCATCATCATCTGTCCCGGCGTGAGTCAGACCAAAAATAACAGCAGCAGTCATCGCTGCTGCATAATTGATACTTCGCAGACTTATGTAATGCCTTCTTTCTTAAGGTAAAGCTTCCAGGTTTGCGCGTTTGCGCTGATATCAGGCACGGAGCGATTGTCTCGCTCTCAGGTCGATACATCAGTTCTGCAGCCCTGCAATCTGTGTTTAGAGGGCAGGCGGGGCGGAGCTGGGAAACACTTTAAATGAAGCTAAAACTACACGACGCTGAAATCAAACCAACAAAACTGTCACAGTCTTACCGTACCAAATTTCCCAGAAGCATTTTCCAAAGAGTCACTCTACTTCTGGCATTCACTTAAAAAACTGAAAGATGTGACCAATGTCCGACAGAAGGTCCTCGGTGCACCTCTGCAGATCGATGAAGCACGGCGCAGGCTTCCAACTCTCTCCCGCTCTCTCTCTCTCCACTTGTTTGCCTTTGCTCTCTCTCTCTCTCTCTCTCTCCCTCTCTCCCTCTCTCTCGGTCTTGATCCAATAAGAGATGAAGTAATGGTAACAGCTGCGCTGTGGTACAAGAGAGCGTCAGGTCGGGGTGACGCTCCGGAGTCCGACACAGTCAGCAGCATTGAACGATCACAGAGGGAGGGAGGGGGAGGAGGGGTGTGTGTGTGGGGGGGGGGGGCACTCACGGGGAAAAGAAAACTGTATAATCTTTGATCCTGAACCGTTTACTGTCTAAAGGAATATGGTGGTTTCATTAATAATTGATTTACGCGAGGTTGATCAGACTTTGTATAATAAGCACTGCCAGCTGAGATTTAAAGGTCTCTGTAGTAGCTGCTGCGATTTTTTCAAAACAAATAAGAAAAGTGTGCGTGGACACATATTGCATAACAAAGCAGTTTTGAATTTTCCTGAGAAATGTTGCACTGAGTCAAAGTCCCAAACTGACTGCAACGAACTGTATGCTGTCTTATCAAATGCTTAGCGTTGCCTAATGACTGGTGGTGAAATGTGAGCAATGCACAGTGACTGTGAGCTGATGTTTCAGAAAAACAGAAAGCAGTCCCAGTTTCACCCCATTTTCAGACTTTATTGTAATACTGAAAATCATCTGAAAATACCAGTGAACTGTGGAAAATCCACAGGACGGGGTTTTTGAAGCCCTGTCAAACTTTAAAAGTTCATATTTCCTTTTAACACAAACAGTAGGTTGAGCTAAACATTGGTTATTTCACCAATCTTAAAATGAATTTTGGCTAAAGCAGTAAAACAGAACTGTTTAGACCGAGCTCTGCCACGTCACTCAGTGACTACAGTGAGTGCTCCCTGCATGAATACACTTTATGTTCTGTTTGCAAATGTTCCAAAACAGAGGGACTAGTGAGCCAATGCCCATGACTTTCAACAGGAAAGTACTGCAGTGCATAAGGATGGGCTTTCCACAGTCATCTATGTAAAGAGGTGGGCAGTGAGGGCTTCTAAAGTAAACCTGTTTGCCTCTGCTTTGAGTTTTTGGGGGGTTTCTTTTACTGTTTCTATGAAATTCACACACCTCAGGAATAATTCACCAGTGCACAATCATCCCTCAGACTGGGTTCCTCTTTGTTCACAGAAGAAGGTAGAGTTTCATCCAGGATGTGGCACCACCACACCCGATGTGGAAATGAGCTCTGTCCATAGTGTGTCTTGGATCAGCCCTAGGTGGCGAGGAGGGTGGCGTTCCACTGGAGGTGCTGGAGCGATTCTTAGTGTTTTATTTAGAAATCAGAAGAAACACATGGTTGCAAATTAGCAGAGCGTGTGCACTGATATTCCCGCCTGCTACCACACAGCAGCAGGCCATTAAAGGCTATCCAGAAGCCGTGTGTGCAGAACCACGTTGCCTTTCAGCACCGTAAACCTCCTCCTCGGATAAAGACGAGAAACGTTGGGATTTGTGTTCGTGAGACACCTCAGAGGTGACACGGATGCACCTCAGAGGGCTTCGTTAAAGAGTTGGAGACATTTCATAAGTTTCCTTTAGACACACATGCTCAAATTTCAGTGGAGAGGTCAGAGGTCATGTGCTGCAGGTCGACATTTATTGACTTGTTCAAGGACATCAAACATCAGCGTACTCTCCTGTTTTTTTGTTTTTGTTTTTTTACTGAACAATGAAAGTCTTTTGTATTTAGTGTACGTGAATCTACTTGAAATTCATGGCATAAAATATTAATTAAATCAACAAATAAATGATTGATGGCCAACACTTATAAACACACGTAAACATTTAAGGGACTTTGTATCACAGGGGGTGCACATGTCAGCCGGAGACAAAAGGCTGATCCAGCATCAGAAGCTCAGCCTCGGTCTCTGACTGAATGACTGAAAGCTCAGAGATACCTGAAACCTGCAGTGTACCCAACCCAGCGCAGCCAAAGCAGCATGTGAACGTCTAACATTTTGCTGTACAAACAGCGGGACGAAGACACAACACTACGAAGAGAGCGCTATTAGTCAAAGCTATCTCGTCTCTGCACCCTCTCTAATGGCGCCCTCTGTTCTGTAAGGCTGGATGATCACCGCAGAAAGTCACAGCTTAGCCATGTTTAACAGCACATGCAGGCTTTTAAAAGGCTCTGCTCTCACTGACAGTCTGGACTCTGCTGGGAACACGATGTTGGGGGGGACGTACGGGGGGAAGGGAGCTCTCTGGGCTTTGAAATGGATCTGTACATCCATCCCCTCAGGGGGAAACATCCTCGTCTTACAAAGACCACACACAGACATAAACAGTCACATATGCATGGGCACGCATTCATACAGAGGCATGGCCCACGGCGGCATGCCAGAAGCAAGCGCACGGTGATTTCCATGGACAAGAAGACAAAAGCCAAAACATTTGAAAACATTTTAAGAAACTGCGCCTCATTCGTGGTTGTTTCTGAGCCAAGCTTTGATGCTTCGGCTGGCTGATGCTGGTCAGGCCACAGCTTGAATTTCAAAGCACCTGGACAAACCACAGCAGCGAGACCAGTGAGATTAGATTAGATGAAACTTTATTAATCCCTCGGGTGGGTTCCTCCGGGAAATTCAGTTTCCAGTAGCACAGCACCGACAGAAGTTGCATGTTACAGATACAATAAAGGGGAATGTGAGTGAGGATATCAGCATAAATATACCATATGTACACATATATAATCCATATAATATGGATAATGTGGATGTGGAGGTGCATGAGGCTCAAAAACATCCAGACTTGTTGTGTACGAGCATCTTATTTCATTCTTCAGGGTCACCAGGGGCCTGCTGCCGTAGGCTGAGGATGGCTGGATGGATATTTAATTACCTTGCTTATCTCAGTATTTGAGTGCACGATGAAAATATTCAAAAGACTTTGCAGACATGCAAATATAAACAAATACACATGAAAACTTTGTAGGATTTCAACACTATTCAAATCTTCAAACTTCAAACATGAGACGAGATGACGGTTTGCAGCCAAATCTTCATGATCCTCAGCCTGAACTGAACTCTGACTCATGAAGAAGCGCTGACCTTACAGAATCTGAACTTCCTTTTCTCGTGGCTCACAGCGCCGCTGTCAGCTCAGCCTAACCGGAGAGGCAGGAAGAAGTGTGACGCAACCAGAAAGGCAGATGCTTCCTAAACAGTGCTTACACGTCTGCACTGAGCCAGCAGCTTACTTACTAGATGACAGTTATGTGACTGCATTAAGGTGCCAATGACACCATTTAACTTTAGCACATAAAAAAGGCAGCTAGCGAGAACAGCTGTTTGCATTTGTGTTATTATCAGCTGCAGGTCAGGCAAGAAGTAAAGGAAGTCAGTGACATGGCGTGTTTTTCTTTTTATGATCTATATTTTAAAACTACAAATACATTTCTGACAGATTTAGTGTGAAACTTCAGCTTTGTTACATCGATCACGTTTATGATGTTTGGGTCATTATTTGGTGGTTTTTCCTGCTTCATTCTAAGAGCTACTGTCATGGGGACCCAGGGTTCATGTGTTTGTGGACTTGTTTATATTTCTCGGGCTGGCAGTCCTCACTGGTTGCCCTGCCTGTGTGTCTGTTTAACATGTATGTGCTGTTGTTGTTGTTGGCGGTGTCCTGGTTTCCCTGGGACACCAGGCCTGGAGAGTGTTTCCCACCGTGAGGCCAGCCACACCCGAGGAAGGATAACTACACGCACCTATCGCTGATCAGCTGATCTGTTTAACAGAGTAGCTGAGCTGCAGTGGATTGTTGTGAGAAACCCAGTCAGCTAGTTTGCAACCGTGTCTTGGTTCGCAGGTCTTTGCATGTACTAACAGCAGCCTGTTGTTGTTTGCAGAGGGTTGCAGAAACAAGTAGAAGCAGTGGAGCGCTGTTGTACGTCAGGATACGATGACTCACCACAGCACAGGAGCAGGGAGCGAGCACAGGAAGAAACCCCGTGGAGAGGATTATTTGCACCTTTGTCCTTTGATTCATTGTAAATAAACGCACTGAACTCTGCACAGGACGTCCTGCGTTTAGGCCCTACTCTCTCCATCTCTGACACTCACTCTGGTTTTCTTTGTCTGTGCTTCTTTCCCAGCTTGTGTGATTGTTTAAGGAAACGTTTTGTTTCGTTTGTGTTCAGTCAGTTTTCACTCAGTTGTCGGTCAGTTTATCTGTCTGTGGGTGTTTCTTGGATTTTCTGCTTGCTTTCTGCAGCATCTTGTGTTTTCTCCTTTTTTAAGTTTCCTTAAGACCCCGGCCAGTTGACAAGAGGGCCTTTGGGTTTCTGTTTGGTTAGTTTAACCCAGTAAAACTGCAAATTTTAATAATTCATGTGTCTAGCATTCATGTCAGGTATATGGGAAACAGTACTTTTTTTTTGAGGTCTATAGAAAACATTAGTATTAGGAGAACCCGGTGAACCGACAGGCCAGACTCCCCAACGTTTCACCATAAAACTGCAATCATTGTTTTTAAGCCTTCATGACAACCTTAAAGTTGGCCTAACAGTCCCATATTTTTATTCTTGGACTAACGTATGTTTGCAAAATGATCCTTTTTACCTCTGCTTGGCCTTCGTCCTGCCCTGCGGTTCATCCATGTAACTTTTTGGCCACCTTCCCTTTAAACCACATTACTTCTGATTGGCCTGGAAATTTGGCTGTTGGCCTACTGGGCTCACTGTCAGAGCTGTATGCCTGGTGTGAATGTATAAGGGGCAACCACTCTCACTGACGTTCTACAGATTCGAACATAGAAAGCAGCTGTATGGTTTGAAGGCTGAGCCTTTGACTCGCATGCATTTATCTTATTCTTTGAAATGCTGCCTATTGTAATAGTACACATGAGAGAAAATAAAGAGGAGCAGAGTAGTCCGCTTTAAAACAATCACACTCAACATCTTCTTTCTTTATAAAATTGCTGCAGTAACACATTAACACGTGGTTGCAGTTCCCACCGTTGAACAGCTTCACATGTCTGAAGCAAAGCGTGGAAATGTTAGCATTACACATTTAAATGCGTGTTTAGAGACACATGTGCTCCTGAATGCCGTTTGAAGTTCAGATAGCATCGCACTGAAATACATGAACTCTTTGCTCATCGTAATTCTGGAGCAGTAATGT